CGAAGAAGCTCCTTTAAGCAATTACTGTGATGTTCCTCCACCTCCAAAGAAATGTCAGAAGGAGTCCGAACCACAAAAGAAGCGCGTATTCTCGGAAAAGTAGTTGCAGGAGGTGAGCTGGCTTCAAACAAATGATGAACGCACAGAGATGTGGTGCGGAATGTGCCGTGAAAATTTAATAAATGACAAATTAAAAAGGCATGAACATTTTTTTTTATCGAAAAAATATCGAACCGTGACACCAAAGTATCGAACCGAACCGTGAATTTTGTGTATCGTTGCACCCCTACTAAATAGACAGGCCAATGAAGGCTGAAGGTTGACGGCTGACTCGGGTTTGTACAAGTGAGCAGTTGCAGCAGCTGATAGAAGGAAAAAAGCAAAAAGGTTCAAAACTCTAAACAGAAAGTTTTCCTTTTGAAAATCATTTGAAAGCATCCTCAGAGAAAAAATAGTTGCTTGTTTTCTAATTGATCTGAAATCTGATATATTTCTGAGCTTTCCTGTAACTTTCTATAATTTACAGTCATGTTAAAAAGACATAACTCGCTCTATTGCTACTAAGGTTTTACATATGTGGACATGTTGTTATTTATTTAGCATAAAGCCAAAATGCAGAAGTAGTCAGTGAAAAACCAAACACACACCACACACACATTTAGTAGTTCACAGAATCAGCTCCAGTAACTGTTTTCTGACTTTATCAGTTTCTCACATTGTTGTAGAGGAAATGTTGCTTCAGTTTATTGACTTCTGTGAACATTTGTTTATGCACAGCTCCTCTGAAGAGCGGACCTTTGGGCTCATCCTCCTGTCGAATATTTTGGTATACAGAGGAGTAAATGCAGTGTCTGCAAAACAAACACCCTACTGTCCCATCTCAGGTCTGTCACTGAGCCCTCCTGGACTCTGGAGTTTGCTTACAAAGTGCAAACATGTCTGTAGATGTTGTGTTAATATTGCATTGCACTTCAATATCATGACTCTGCAGGAACTTATGCCAGGTTACTTGTTGTGGATTTTAGTTGTTCTTTGAACATCTTCATCCTGGCTCTGCAGCTGGATCAGGCAGCTCCCATCTGCAGCTGGATGAGTGACTTTCTGTCTGACAGGAAGCAACGTGCAGGTCTGGGCCGGCATGTCTCAGACTCTCCATCAACACTTGTTCTCCTCGAGGCTGCTTTTCTTTCTCTATACCAAAAGCTGCACCTCAGTCTGTCAATCTCCTGAAGTTTGAAGACGACACTGAGTCAGAGCACAATTAGGAAGAAGAAACACAAGAAGCCAAGAAGTACTGAGGGCTGATATACACTATATATAATTATTAGTCCTCAAGCACTGAAGGAATTACATATAAATAAATTACATTAAATAATAAAAAAATGTAAGTGTTTTGTGCACGTGAGCGTTACCCACACTTTACTGTAAACTACACTACAGTCAGATATGAACTGAAGCCGAGGTGAAGTGCATTAAAAGATTGTTTAGTGTGAGATTGTGACAAACTGAAACATTATTAAACACCAAACATCAGGTCTTTACTCTCCAGTCAATCACAGAGAAAACAGGTGCTCTGAAAACACACAGCTATCCTATCATCTGTGCTAAATCCAGCAAACGATGGACACGCCCCCTGCGGGTATAATCTCTATTAACCATCATTAGCATTCCTCCAATATTTCCCATGCTCTGTTAGTTTCAAGCAATTAGCATTCTGCTCATATTTGTCCAGTTGCTGTTCCAGGAGGATTTCTTCCTGACAGCTGCTTTCACCACGGGCAGCTGAACAAATGTGAGCAGCAGGAGACGTCCACTGATGAGCTCTTTCTTCTGTGAGGACACGCTGATAGGGTCTCTCTTATTGGCTGGACAATGAGCATCATCTGGTATCTTTGCTTGTCTTTTATGTGCTCTTGTATTTTGATATGAGCCTGTCTTTTCTTCTCCATATCCTCTCTCTGTGTTTTCTCGCGTTTTTTCACCGTGCTGCCTGTCAATCACAGTGATGTGGAGGTGATGACATACAGGAAGAGGAGTGTGCTAAAGCAGAGTAAAAGTGGACAGTGGCTCCTTTATCCCACTGTGATACACAAACAGGGGGATACGGGTCTCTTGGCTGCAGCATGAAGGATATGAATGCTGAAACTGGGAGAAGGTCCAGGAGCCTCTATAATGCTGCTGCTGTAGCCACGTGTTTTACTGTTGGGGATTCAAACCTTTCCACTAATCCTGTTTCTCTGACCTTTCACCTTAAAATGAATGTGTACATTAAACACTCAGCCAGGACACTTAATCTAATCCTAACCCCTTTACTTACTGAGATAACATCTTAAAGCCACTTTGAATCATTTCTTTTTGAGGTTTCTGATGTGAAGGTATACGTTGATAAATGTGAATGTTGAACCTCAGTTCTCAAACATTTCTCAAACATAAGGAAATCAGTCTGGAAATGCACTGATGAAAACAAGTTTAAGTTCTCTCCACTTGTTCCTCCTGGTCGTCCTCGCTCAGCACGTTGGTCCAGACCGAAACAGCTGAGCTGGGAGATTCGTCACTTATGCTGCTGTGAAGCATCAAGCTGAGTGTTTTCATCTTGGTGTTTTGATTCTACTTCATGTTCATAGGCTGTCAATCAAACGCTGTTTGTCCTCTATGACTGCAATGATTCACAAAACAAACTGCGTGTGTGAGCCCTGTGATTGGTTGGCATATTTCGGTGCCAGGTCGGTGGTTCGATCCCAGGCTGCCTCCTGACTGCATGCCAAATATCCTTGGGCAAGATACTAACGCCATGTTTGCCTACTGGTGGTGGTCAGAGGGCCCGGTGGCGCCAGTGTCCGGCAGCCTCGCCTCTGTCAGTGCGCCCCAGGGCAGCTGTGGCTACATTGTAGCTTGCCATCGCCAGTGTGTGAATGTGTGTGTGAATGGGTGAATGACTGAATGTAGTGTGAAGCGCTTTGGGGTCCTTAGGGACTAGAAAAGCGCTATACAAATGCAGGCCATTTATTTAAAGCGTAGCCTATGGCAGGGATGGTCTCCAGCCACCCTTGAACCTGAATTAAATAAGCAGAATAAAATACATTACATGGTGAATTCAGCAACTAGTAATTGAGCTCCTGATCTTATTTGCTGGGGTCACAGATGTTGTTGTTACCTGAGCTGTTTGTGGGCTGTTAGTAATAATAGAAAGAAAGTAACAAAAGAAATTCACATTATTTTTAGCTTTTATGTAAAAATGTTATTATGTACACATACTAGCACGTTAGCATGCTAAACTTCATATATTTAAAAAAAATGGCAAACTGTCAAATATTGAACCAATAGAAAGTGTAATATATCATTAGAGGTCATTAGAAGTCAGTCCTGTAAGAAAGCTGAAGCCCGATCTGTGGCCACTGCATTACAAACAGATGTGTCTCTGTGAAATCACAGAATGAGCTGAGAAATGACGTTGTGTGCATTATGTGCCTCTGATAGTGAATCAGCCAACAGGGAGCAACATGTACACATCCAGATGACTTGTGTCTTTTTTCAGCAGTGCATTCTGCATGTGTGCAAACAGTATAACTCAAGTCCAGCTGCTAAAGTGACCGACAGGCTGATCGTTCTGTCACTAATGGAAGGAGTTTGACACAAAAACAAAGGCTTTCTTTTCTTTTGTCCTACTGCTTAATTATAGTTAATTACAATTTTATTTTATATTATGACAGGATGTCTTTTTGCTTCATTCAGTGTTAAAGTTTAAGGTCACTGAACTTTATATAACAGAGCATTGAATGAAGAATAAAGGTGTTCTTATAGATGGGAACTCATAGAATGGGTTCTTTCATATAGTCTCCAGTTCATCAGGATGGAGGGAAAGCGTGGTGGGCGTCACTGTTTTGGGCACGAGAATCTCTCAGTTTGAAGTTTCTCCCACATGACTGAGATTAGGAGCCAGTGACCGTATGGTCTTGTGTTTCTGACCGTCTCCTTCCTTCGTTCTCTCACACATATTTGTGTTGTTAATGCTGAGGAAGAGGAGGAGAGGAAGGGGAAAAGAGTGCAGGATGAAAGACTCGTTCTGTTCCCTGCAGAACATCAGACACGTGAGGCGTGAAGGTGAAGGCTTCCCTCGGCTTCCTGGCGCTCGCCTGGCTGATTGAATTAAAGAATGGTTTCTGTACAATGATGCACGTGAATGCTCTTTGAAGGGAGCCTCAAAGTGTGCACTGCACATGATGCCCTGTGAAGACAACACAGCCTGTCGGCGTGACCAGCAGCAGAACTACAGCCGGATCAACAATGACTGAACAATGAAAAAAGTAGTTTGAATAAAATATGTTCACATGACAAATGAATATGTCTCGAGCTTGGATTCTGAGGTATTACTGAACATAAAAATGATTTTAAGGCAAAAATATCCAGTTATTAGGTAACATCAGCTGTGAAAAGCTTCAAACAATGGTGTTACCTTAAAATGAGTCCCAGCATTTTATACACCAGTGTCAAACATAAGGCCCGGGGACCAGAATCAGCCTGGAAAACACTGATCTCACTGGACAGCTTTAATGTGAAGGAGTGCACCGATTTTGGTCTTTTTAACTGAAATTTCACAAGTTTTACAGTTTTTCCCACAGATAAAAACCCACTGCCATCCATACTACACCAAATTCTCTGTGAATTAATTAAAATTGTTTAATATTTTACGATAAATTGTATATTTTAAATCATATTTTATTATAAATATATTTATTTATAGTCTGAGCAATGGACTACCAGAATCTTTTGTGTAACTCTACACATTTATCGTGATTTTCACTGGTCCAGCCCACTGCACATCAAAGTGGGCTGTGTGTGTCCCACCATATTAATGACTTTAACATCCCTGCAATAAGTTTTTATGATTAGTAAAAGTGTAACTACGATTTTTTCCTGTGTGACGTCTTTGATTCCAATTGAAATAAATGAGAATATTATGTGATACATTTTTTAAGTTTTGTGAGGTTTGGCATGAAAATCATTCAAAAACAGTAAATTAATTTGTTTCTTTGTTTTTAATTCCTGCCTGTAGTGCAGGGAGACATTTACAGTGAACTATAAGGGGAACATATAAAGTGATTATTAGTGTAGAAACAGATTTTTAAGCGGAATATGATGTAGGAGCAGTCTGCGTTGTGACTGGCCGGTTGGTCGTGTACGAAGGTCTGGTGGTCTCTGGGTTTCTCGACCCTCCCTCTCTTCACATCTTGTTTTTGTGGAGCTCTCTCTCTCACACACATTGTTGCTGAGTTCCTCTCAGGTCATCAGATTAATATCTGCCTGCTGTTCTTCAGAACAGGTGCAGTGAAGTCACATTTCCACTCAGATAAAAAGAAACTGCAGGCGGGGAGAAATCACTGCAGCGATGCAGCTTTAACAAATATGAATAAGCTCCAGCTTATCTCCTCTCCACGCATATTAAATCAGGTGACTTGTGTTTTTTGGATTGTTGCTTAATCTCAGTGAAGAATGAGCTTCCACAGATAACGCCCGAACTGAGGAGAAGTCGCCGTGTTAAGAATGAGAAGTATGCGAAGGCTGAAAAGAATGAACTTTGGGGTTTACAACAGAGCGATACGGCGATGCGGGAGGTCCTGCCATGCCTCTGTCATGATCACCTGCTTCACTTGGTGGGAACAAAAGAGCTTTTGGTTGTTCTTTTCAGCCCAAATTTAATTACTTGTAATTTTACTTCCAAGAATCAAACATGCAGCAGGAACAAAGTGTAGAAACAAGTCAAGTGAAATCAGATTTGCTGGTTTGGTGACTTCAGTCGTAACCTGACACTTTGATTAACTCGATTAACAAAATAAGAATGAAGATTAAAGTGTGAGGGAGGCTGTCATCACCGTGCTGCTTACATCTTCTAATGTGTGGTGCAACAGAAGATCACACACAGTTCAAACTACAAAAGGGAACACATAAACCCATTTACCCCTGAAAAACAGTCAAATTCCAGTCTGCTTATCCATGTCAGGGTCGTGGGGGGCTGGAACCTATACCCGGCTGAGACACTGCAGACAGGCTGTCGCTGGGCCAGACAACCATTCACACTTACGGTCAGCTTGGAGTCACCGGTGAACCTTACCCCATCTGTGTGATTGGAGGTGGAGCAGCTGGAGAGTTTACAGAGAAAAGCCCCAGACTGGATCAGAATCAGTAAAACTAAATGATGACTGTGTGATGAACGTCCACTTAGAGTCTATTATTAACTTTCTTCTTCTTTTGCTGTGGGAATCACCACGGCAGATCATCTGCCTCCTTCTGACCTGACCCATAGCATGCTCCTCTTTTTCTACCTTCATGAATCTTCTCTCTGTTCTTCATCTTTTCCTCCTGCAGGCAGCTCCATCTCCAGCGTGTTTAGTCCAGTGTATCCACCCTCCCTCCTCAGCACATGTCCAAATCATCTCAGCCTCTAACTTTGCTCGATCTGAGGTGGCGGACTTATTTCTAATCCTGCTCGCTCCCAGTGAACATCTGAACATCTCCAGCTGTTTCACATCACCGTTAACTCTGGACGTTTCTGATCCAATATGGAAATGTCATTTTTAATAATCCACATGTTTGATTTCTCAATGATTTTGCACCTATGCATTAAGATACAATTCATTATTGAAATGCATATTATTCTGTATAACTTTGTCCTTGAGTTATTTAAAATAATACATTTTAATGCTAAACAACTTGAAATAATACTGAAGTAAAAAAATGTACCAAATGATTTCTTGTCTAATATTCTGATTGCCTGTGGGTCTCCACTCTCCTCCACCTTGGTCTTAGTCCCGTTTGTGCTGCTCTATTGGGAATAAAATGCTGGAAATATCACTGGTGTGTGACATGTAACACAGAATAATATTTTCACAAGATTTTAGATTTATAGAACAAACGGGCCTTGTTCTATTTGATTATTTGACAACAGGTTTTATTGTTTTGACTTTTCTACACTCAGATATTTCTTTTGTCCATCACTCAGCAGAGCAGCGCCTCTGCTGACACTTTGATAACTTGAACTGTAATTCTTCCTGTGGGTTTAATATATTATGATTAACATTCACACACATCCAGTGAGAGACTGACACCCAGACAGTTTGTCACAGAATATTGGGTTCAAAAAAATTTGGGAAGCACACATCTCTCAACTCACATCCATCCATGAGATAAACACATCCTCCCCTTCACTGTGATCCTTTTCATTTTTGAATCATATTGAAGGTTTTACTGCCACAGAGACCCTGAACACATCATACAGGACACACAGTGTTTCTCTGGTGGCTGCAAAACTCAGTCATAACTCACAGTGTGTTTGCTCACACTCAGCACTCATTTGCACTTCAAAACCAGGAACACTGATAAAGTGATGTTTAATGTTCAGTGTCCTTCGTAGACTCTGTGGTGAAAGTCTCTTTATCGGCCTGTGGGCAGCTGCAGCTGATCTTCTTTAAATGATCACATGAAAATATTCAGATGTGATGAAAGCTCAGGTTTTATCTGTTCTTATTTTGGATGGTTGCCTTTATTACCTAAGAAATGTATAAAAAAACAAAATTTCCTTAAACTCACATATGCAAGGATCTAGTGATTTATTTTTATTAATGTCAAGACTTCTTCCTGCCAGCGTGTTTTCATCATACTGCTGATCCACTGAGATCAACACAGCTGTACATCCAAGTCTGTGCTTCAGTTTTGGTGTTGAAACGTCTCTTTTTTTATTAGTCTGTCACTAATTAGCAGGTAAGCAGATTAACAGATGTGATCACATCTGGCTCCAAAATGAGGCTGAGGTCGAACTGCTTACGTGGAAGCTTCAACAGAGAGACATCAGTGACATCAGGGGGCGTCAGCCATTCTTTTTTTTCCATTTCATCTCCTGTTTCCTGTTCACACTTGTCTAAAGCTATTAAAGGCTTTTAAAATATACAATTTCTGTCAAAGAACTTTGTGCTGAAGCCTCGATTAGAAATCACAGATATGAAAAGTGTCGCGTTAGTTTCAGTCACGTGACCGAGGAACCTGTTTTCTTTCGTGTGCACTCGTACCCATGTAAACATAAGATTTTGCTTTCTTACTGAGCTTGAAGAAAACACTTTAATTTTAATGTGCAGAGCAGATGGAAGGAAGGTAATTATGATGTCACACCTGTCTCCAGTTCAGCTATTTGTACACTTTGATTTCTGTGATTCCAAACGAACTAACTCTGCATGAAGAGGTGAAAATTGGCTCTGGTGAACTCCTGATGGATGGTCTCCAACAGGATGTCATCGTCTTGTCCTCCACCCATCCCTCCTTCTCTCTTCCCTCCTCCGGCTGTCATTCGGGCCGACGGGGGCGGCTGGAGCTCAGGCGTGTAGGTGAAACTGTAGGAGGTGCGGTAAATCAGTCCATCCAGTCGGACGAGAGACAGAGGGACGGTGATGACGCGCCGCAGACAGCGCCAGCCGTCGCTGAAAACCGAAACATCGGGAACGACGCAGAGCAGAGATTTGGGAGACCTGAGAGGAAAAACAAGGACATGAAAGTCAGAGCTGTGGTCTGGAAAATAAATGAGAAGACAAACTTCGAAAGTTGCTGACTGCTGTAAAGATGTAAGGAGCAGGACGTCACTGGAAGCACCAAATGATCTGATCAAATATAAAACAGATAAAGTGAAGACCTTTAAAGAGTTTTTAAAGACATTAAACTTAAAATGTAACTTATCTGTATGAACTGTGTTGTAGAAAGAAGCAAAAAGAAAAATAAATACAGTAAAAGGTATAAAAATGTGACAGAAAAAGAAAAGAAAAAATGCAAATGTGGCATTTTTCTATAGCTAATACTTCTTCAGTTTCTCCTTTCTGAGAATTTGAATGAAGCTGTTTAAGTTAATGAGTATAAACTAAACATAAACGTGTGGCTGGTACGAGGTCTGAGCAGACAGCAGACACTGTGAATGCCCTTTTATAAAATATTTTATTTGAACCTATATTGCGCCTCTGGTTGGCCTGGCAGGGAGGGATCATGTTCCTAATTGGCTCCAGCTTCTTGCACAAACAGCACATTGTGGACGGCTGTTCTTCACACACGCTGCTGCAGAGCCTCGCGGTGAGCCGCTCTCACTGTGACCCTGACTTACGATGCCTCAGCACTTCAGGTGTGGGATCTGAGGTGGATCCTGACGTCAGAGGCCTGTTTTACTTCGGTTTGCGTCACGTGAGATTCTGTGAGAGCACGGCTGGATGTCAAGTTTCTGTGATGCCCGTCTGTAAATTACAGACGCCCACATAAGAGTTAGAGGGAGGATTGTTCCCTGTGAGCCAAGCTGAGTTCCTCCTACTGATGTTTGGTTATAACATAAACCTCTTTATACATCGCTCTGGTCCAGGCTTGGCTCCGACTATCAGGGCGGATGAATACGCCCTGATAGTTGCTGAAAAAAAAAATGCCCATCATATTTTCCCAGAGTCCTGAATTTTATCCTTGAAAAAAATATGGTGCATTTTTCTATTTTCAACAAAAACAAATGTTTTAGAAAATCCTCAACAAACTGCGAAAAGTCCCTCTGAGAAGCTCCGCCCCCTGCAGGGGCCATATAAATTTAACAGGTTAAGTTTTTAGGTAAAAGGCGCCTGTGACACTATTTTCCAGCTTTATATTTCGATCCTGCTGAAGCAGCTTTCCATGATTCAAAGCTGAAAACGACTCGTGATTGTTCGCTCACTTGTACATGGTCTCTGCTTCGCCGTTGCCGAACCAGACTTTCAGATGAGGAGTGAAGTTTTCTCCGTGAATTTCCAGCATGGCGACGTGCCCTCCACCGTTCACCTGCAGGAAGAAAAAAGGAACTCTGGATCTCCTTTTTTGACTGAGTGGTTTGCTCCATTTCTAGCTAACAGCACATTTAGGTTTTTATAAAAATATTATAAAACACATGAGAACCACACAATGTGAAGGTTTGTCTTGGCACTTCACCTCTAACCCAGTGACAACAGGAAATGGGCTAACTGGTGTCGTGATACAAGCTAGACCCTGATTGAAGGTGAACTCTACGACTTCCACCCCGATGATGGTCCAACAGGACCCGTCATTCAGCACCACTTTGCTGGGATCTCTGACGCTGAACGGGGCCTGAAGGGAAGAAAAAGATGGAGGAGATGGTTAAAAGGAAGAAACATGTCAACAGGACAAACGTGAAGGTGTCAGCTGGAAGAAATAAACACAGGCAGGTGGAGGACGAATCGAAAACAAAGGCTGGGAAAGAGAAGAGAACCTGGTACTGTATGATGGCGTCGTTGGTTAGACACAGATAGGCGTGAGGGTTGTCTCTGAACTGAAAGGCGCACTTATGGAGCTGAGAAACGGGCTCGTCCACGTCTAAGATGGCGTGCTGCTTGTTGACCTTTCGGATCACCTGAAGATGAAGAACTTTAGCTTAGAATCCATTTATGAATAACTAAAATATTTCCCCAATAATAACAACTTAACTGTAAGAAAAAACGGTGCTATCAGGCATGATTTGGAGGCTCACTGTTTATCTGTTCTAGCAGCTCTTTGAGGCGAATGTGAAATGCAGTTCACATTTGTTTTAGTTGGAGCCAGTTCGCCTGTTTATGTGTGTAAATAAAAATGCATTGAAATCATTTAATTATAAGTCACTGAATTTACAAATAGGTTAAAAACTTTGGTTTATTACAAATGCTAAATACACTGAAACTCAGTGTGCTGATAGAAGAAAAAACAAAGGAAAGGAGAGTTTTTAAATATAGATAAAATTAAGTTTAAATGATGCTTTTGTTTGGATTTTGCAGGTGGAGAGTTTGCTGTCAGGACACTGCAGCTGTGGGAGGATCACGGCTCGAGGCGGTGCGTCTGATTGTGCTTATGGACAGTTTCTAGAAATAAAAGGGCTTAATCATCACTTTACAAAGATTTTAACATATTCACACATCCTACTGTGGTCTTATATAACTGTATATTACCCAGGTATGATTGCTGAGGGTAATAAAAACATAAATCTGTCTAATACATCTACAATAACAGTTTGTTTTAGATCTGTTGAAGAAGAAATACCACGGGCTTCTAAAAACCATCCAAATATATCATCTCACAGATGTACAGTCAGAGATCAGGAGAGTAAAATAAACAGTGAGCAGCTGTCTGAGATAACACAACCAGCAGAAACTGAGCGATTCGGGTTTTAAAAGATGTACAAACATCATCCAGGTGTATCTGTGGAGGTTGGACACTGAATTAACTGTGGTGTTTTCTGGCGCTGAGTCCAAACCTCGGTATTAAGACACTTAAATGTACCCTAAACTGCACCACACACACAATCTGAAAGTCTTTGTTCTCGTGCTGCTGAGCGTTTTGTCTTCACCTCTCCGGTCGCTGAACGCCGACCACGACCACCACAGTCCAACGCCAGCTTTCTCTGTCTTTAAACAAACAGGCTGCAATAGGCCTCAACTACAAAAACATATAGAGGTGTGTTGTGCGGGTATACCCTCACCAATAACCAGCAGGCCAGCAGCTCAGGGTGTTATGACAGCAGTTTAGGAAGTACAGAGAAAGGGTGTGCTCAGCGAAATGTGACGGACGGCAGTGCAGACGTTTGTCTAAGAACGGCTCAAACTGGAAGGATATCTGTGGGATTAGCAGCTTATGTAACACCTGCACAGACACACATCTGGAAGTCATTCAGTATTGAGCAGCGATTATACCTTAACTGATTTTATGGTCAAATAATTAGTGCAGAGCGCACCCATTTCCAGCTATAGATGGTTATAAAGAGCTTCTTTTGTTGATAAGATATTGAAAAGTCAACATTGATTAATCCAACTTACTTCCAGGAATCTGGTGTCTCGCTAACAAACACTTCAGCAGTGTGTCTTCTTTGGGATTTAAAGATTCTTAGTAAACTAGCAGGATTTTCCCAAATCTCGTGGTTATTGTTTTAATATCCTGAGATGAGCTCAGAGAATTTCAGTCAAGACTTCTGAATTTACAGGGTTGTTTAATCTCAGTGGTCGATTGTTTCATGTATATCAGCCAAACTAGAAACTAGATTTAGGAACATAAACTGTGGCTAATCTGGAAAACACTCCATGTTTCCACCAGAAAAAACTATTTACTGCCCCAAATTTGGAACTAATGACACCTGTGGCTGTGGGAGGGGCTATTCCTAGAAATTTCCTAATGTTTTACAGACGCACACCTGAGATCCAGTCTGACACAATTTTCTTTTCACAGAAAAAAATAAATAAAATCATTTGATTCTCCGTTTTGTAGAAATGTGGCATGGTTAGAAAAAAGGTATTAAAAGGTATCTGGTATTTCTATCATGTTTTGATTTTTATTATGAGGTTTGTTTCCATCATCTCACTGTGTCGTCCTCTGCAGCTGTTTAACGGCACTGACTACAGCAGAGGTTTTTAAAGCTTTGGCTGAGTGCAGATAAAATTCGCTGGAATACCAGTGAGGGCACATATGGTGGACAATACAAGGTATGCACTATTCACATGCGCTGTGTGTGTGTGTGTGTGTGTGTGTGTGTGTGTGTGTGTGTGTGTGTGTGTGTGTGTGTGTGTGTGTTACCATGGGTGGCAGAGCTGCTCCAGACTCGGTGCACACTAGCTGGACCACACAGCCGTAACAGATGAAGCCTTCGCTCAGCACAAAGCCTCCTTGCTCAGCACACTGGTCATCCACTACACACGCACACACACAAACACACACACAACTATGCATGAATATTCATATTCCTTCCCCTGCAGCACACACACACACACACTGACGGTTAATTTCTGCACATTTTCAGCTTTATTACATTTTTTCCTTGCATGACTTTTCTGCTAACAGAGGACAAACAGAGCGTCGGTGTGCGTGATCGAAGAGAGGACCAAGTGCTGATGGATGAATGACTGAGGTTTGGGTTTTGGTGGTGGGAGGTCCGTGCACACAGGGCACTGTGTTAAATAAATAACCTCACAGATCTTTAAATGGACTCTTCTAGACTTTACTGAGGAAAACCGCTCGCACAGTGACTGTATTTATGCAGGATGGCTGCAGGGCGAGAAGACACGTCTGCTGACTGGAGGATACACGTTTGACACCATCACAGACAAATCAGAGCCTGTTTTCATAGATGTATTTGATTTCTCACACACAGGACACCGCACGGATCCTTCCACATGCTGTGTTCCTACTTCTCTGTTTGGTTTAGGTGAGGATGCTGGAAGAATAAAGCATCCAAAAGACACCATGAGGACCACGGGTGTAGGTTCTGTTTGGGGACACCAGCAGACACACTTCCTGCCTATTGAATTTGTATACAACAATTTCTACCTTATGTGCATCGATTTATAGAAGAGAAATGGGCAACACAACCCAGTAAGAGCTCTAAGCTGTTCTGTGTTGCTCAACATAATTATTCTCCACATTGTTCATTCAATGCACTCATTTTACTGAGTGTGACTAAAAACAAGAAGCTCAGGCAGTATAACTGCGCTAACATCCTTCATATTACAGTTTGAGGGTAAACGGCAGTTTTATGGGATGTCTGTGTTCTACATCTATGTTTTTCAGTTAAAGTCAAACAGTTACAGTAAATCATAAAGTGAAAACATTATGACCTTCCCTGTATCCAAAGCATGTGTTTGTGTGTGAATACAAAGCTTTGAATCTACTGTACTGTTTGCACACAAGCCGTGACACACGCTGACACGGACGCACACACTTACCCATGGTGATGGTGAAGGCCGTCCAGTGTCTGGCGCTCGCTATGAAAGCTCCTCTGTCCACCGAGAGGTAACGAGTGCTGACGGTCTGAGAGCGTAAACGGTTAAACAAAGCCACCCTGGAGCAGGATGAGATACACACTGCAGACACACACACACACACACACACACACACACACACACACACACACACACACAGTTAGTGGGATTTAAAGGATGTTTGTGTGGGACAGTCTGAAATTTAACCATTTTGAAAATAAGAAATAAACACAAACAAGCTCTGGTGGCTTGGTGACAGTCATGTGATGGAAAATGATTTTAATCAAACATTTTATTTTATGTTTTTTAATATCCTGGTGAGTAAATACATTTAGCATAAATAAATCTCTGAGCATCATGTTTCCTGTGAGGCTTTTACTAAATGAGAGCTGTTGAAATGATAGACAATTGTCTCAGTGTGTGATGAAGGACAAGTGATGAGCATTTAGTGCAGGTCCACATAAAGTGAGTCCACTGGGAACCTGTGAGGCACAAACATGCACACATGTGTGTTTCCATCACACGTGTGCTCAGGCTTCACAGCAGCTCAGCACTGTGGCATCACAGCAAGAGGATTCCTGATTTGGTCCTTCAGTGAGGAGGTTGCATGTTCTCCCTGCGTCTCTGCATGTTCTGGTTTTCAGGTTAACTCCTGTCAGCACAGGCTGAACTAAGTCACACGACACCAGAGACCACTGAGACCATCTGTGTTAGTCATTCTGTTTGTCCTTCCCTGATCTCATCTCAGGATAATAAAACAACAGCGATAATAATTTACCGAGAATCTGTGTTTAAACTCAAATCAAGTCAATCCGTGCGCACCACACAGTGTCATCCCAGGATGAATGCAGGGAATCCTGAATCTATGTGAGGACCTTCCATGACTCCCACCCTAACATTAACCATCAAACTTAAAGGCTTCTTCATTGTTTCCATCTTAATGTCTGCAACGATTCACATGATGCAAACGTCATCAAACAGGCCAAAACACAGAGACAGTTAAATCAACACATTTCCACCTTTTGTTTCTGAATGAAATCATTTTCCATGATTTTACTCAATTTCAGTTTCCTTTGATTCATTTTCAGTTTACTTTGGCTCTTTGCTTTTTGTTGTTTTTGCTCATTTGTGTTTTTCTTTTTTTTACTGTATTTGTCACCAAGGAGACCAAAATAGTAAAAATCATACTAATGTCTAGTTGCTAAAGAAATGACAACAGACCTCCAAAGCAAAACAAACACAAATATCCATCTCAGGTGATGTGAGACCTTTTCAAATGTTCATTTCTGCCACTTATCCTCAGTTTAAAAATAAATGGAAATCCCTGATTTGTTGGATTAAAAGTGGAATAAACCCACGATCAGCGTTCTTCATGGACTGTCTCTTCTGGGAGGGTTTGGAGATGACTTTGATCATCCGGCTCTGGAACGAACCCACTTCCTGTCTGTTGCCCAAGAAGAGGCGCAGCAGCAAGCAGAAATGCTTCCTCTTGTCCTGATCAGAGATGAACAGCGTCTTGGCGCAAGCGAACATCTGCTGACGAGACACACAGACAGCATGAGTGTGAGACTTATTACACTTCACATAATCAGACGCAGAGGAGGAAAACTCTTCAGGAATGTTGTTTTTCATAAATAACTAATTGAAATAAACTTTTTCTGGTTATTTTTTTCTGATTTTCTCAGCATTTGACGCTCGGCTGAAGGTTGTACAGCAATAAAGACAAAGCACGTCTGTTTCTCCATCAGTCAGTAAATAAGCGAAAGGTTTGCAGCCGTGCAGTTTTTCTGTCAGACGCGACTGTTTGTTGAGTCAACAATGGCCTGAAATAAAAGGTTTAATGCTCGTGGCCGAGTAAACACACGCAGAGCTCCAACACAACAGTTCATACATCATCAGTCACTTATCTGCTCACTTTCAGACAACCGGCCTGAATGAAACTTATTCTAAGGACTGTTTTTACTCTTGTCACAGTAAATATACATGTCATGTATCATATGTCGTAAAAAAAATTGTAGACTTTGCCTTTAATATGAGGTAGTTACAAAAAACCCCACAAAGCAAAACAACAGTATACGACGTGTACAGCTCGCAGTGAAAACACCGGTCGGTTGTTTAACGAGTGTAACAAACGATGTTTATGACAGCGACGTTAATAACTGTGTGTAAAACCGCAGAACTCTCAACAAAGCCGAGGTTTCATCACTGCTGCTTCTTTTCAGCCAAACCAACGTGGTGACAAAGAAACTTCAGATGTGTGCTTATGGTTGTGAAAGGACCCATTTTAAATCAGTTCGTGACTATTTTCCTTCCTAAAACTGTACAGAGTCGTTTTGGTGCCTAAAACTAACCAAACAGCCGCTGAAAACACGAAAAGGATGAAATAAAAAGAAAGAATTTCTGAAACACATCAGACAACAACAACAGCTCCCTGTGTTATGTGTTTGATCCTGACCTCCACTCTGTATCTTGTGGCAGATGAAAACTTGAAGTGTTGTGTTTCTGATTTCTGCTTGTGCTGGTCACTAATCATGTCTGGCAGTTTTTTATGCACTTCACCTGTTTGGTGAGGCACTCTGGATATTTGGGGCTAAACGTCACATATTCCTGTGTGCGGATTATGGAAATGAGAGCCAGAAGTGCAGAATGCAGGAAGCAGATTTCATTTAAAAAGTAAACGGCCTGTATTTGTATAGCGCTTTACTCGTCCCTAAGGACCCCAAAGCGCTTTACATATCCAGTCATCCACCCATTCACACACACACTGGTGATGGCAGCTACATTGTAGCCACAGCCACCCTGGGGCGCACTGACAGAGGCGAGGCTGCCGGACACAGGCGCCACCGGGCCCTCTGACCACCACCAGTAGGCAACGGGTGAAGTGTCTTGCCCAAGGACACAACGACCGAGACTGTCCAAGCCGGGCTCGAACCGGCAACCTTCCGATTACAAGATGAACTGCCAACTCTTGAGCCACGATCGCCCCGTTAAAAGTGAGTTTTTAGTGCTGATATTCAGCTCGATCCAAACTTAGAGAAACTCAGAATGTCGTTTGGCTTTCTGAGCGTTACAGATGATCACAGTGTTGCTCTGTGATGCTTTCACTCCAACACTCTTATTCCACTGAGGGGCAACCAAAGACACTCAGTGTACTTCTATTAAAAAAGGATTTTACATTAACTTGATGTGTGGAGCTGTCAGGTATATTCTGATTTTTTACACTCTATTATCACGTTTTAGAGCCGTCATGTTACCAAACTTCACTTCCCAAAATCTAAATTTTAGTTAGATTTCACAGTAATGATCATTTGAGACATGTAAGACTGGAATGGTAACGGCAACAATTTTGGTCTAATTACTCTGTAACTTTGCATAATTAATTAAACTTTTGCGTATGGGTATCACTGACTTTGTATTAATATTTCAGTTTAATCATCAGCATCATTATAGCATCTCTGATCAGTTATGTCTGAAAATAATAAATTAATAAATTCTGCAAATCTTCAGAAAACTGTTCAGGACAAAGACGTGGATGGATGCAGATGGCTCGCTGGTGCCACCTCCGCCCCCATCAGTGAACACCTGGAGATGAATTGAGACGATAACTAACGGGACAAAGGGGGAGCGTAAATCCCAGAAAATTAGTGTCTGTGTCACAAAAGGAATTTTCTGACCAGGAACGACTGTCAACATAAACAGAGGTTTGCTCACGGCCACCAGAGAGCTCTCACCCTGGAGTTTGGCTGTTCATCGAACACCAGTTTGAATGCGTCTGCCTGTGACTGGCTGGAGCTGTCCAGGCACATGTAACCACACACTCGAAACACAGAGTCGCCATAACCGGCCGCTGGATGGAAAAGACAATGAGAAGGAAAAACAGCAGTGAGCGGAAGAATGTAAGACATTATAAAATTCACTCAAATTTTAATGTAAAGCTGACTATAATCATCTTTATTTACCCTTTAAATGGTCCTGCGTGACTTTCCATCCATGGCCAGTGATGTAAACACAAGGAGGAGGGCAGAAGAATCTGGAGGTGATGCAGAAACAGTCACTGAAACAGCAGATTTTATCCAACTAAACCAGTTAACGTGCTCATGATTTCACTAATCTCTACATTAAGATTTTCTTCTTCTCTTCATTCATCTGTTAAAATCAGGTGAGTCTCGTGTGTATTACAGGTATTACAAAACGTTTCTCTGCCTTAAACATCACGGGCAACAAACTCAGTCTCACTAATGGGAAATACTGTGAAATGTAAATCACATGATTGGACAAAATAAAGCTTTCTTTGATTTATTAAAATGCATGTCCTGCTCAACATAAAGCAAGTTTAATTAGAAGAAACTTGTTTGTTCACAACTCTAACTGTCGTGCATAATAATGGTTAAAGAAGGTGAACGTGCAGCCAGTTCACATCAGCCTTATTCAGCTGCATGAATATGACAGCTCAGGGCAGTTACAGGACACACAGGAGAACAAATTAAATCATGAACAAGAATCTTCAGAAGAATATTGCAGGACAGAATATGACATTAGAAAATCAAATAACAAAGGACTTTTGATCATGCAAACTATCCATAACACACAGCCGGGCTCTCATGAAACTGGCTGCACATAAAAAACTGCAAATAAACTTTGCAGTTTCTCAAAAACTCAAAAGTATCTTCACCTTCCTCTACTTCAAGTCTTTAATCTCATCTTTAATTTTAGTTTTGTGTGCCAGTTGCTAGCTGTAGCTAGAGGTGAAATGACTGGTTTGTTATTAAGTTTCCACCAAATGTCAAATATGTTGCAGATTTCTTATTCATTTCTGTGACTTCATGTCTAAGTAAACAGCATTTCTTTGGGGTTTGCGTCCAAAAGAAATCATCTGTTGTTCTCGAGGAAATCATTTTGTCACTGTTTTATGACACTTTGTGGATCTGTGTAGATATTAAAGTAACTGCCAAATAAACTTGGAAATCTGAGCCTGTCCCTCAGATCAGTCAGATTAATCTGTTTGTTAGAAAAACATTTCTGTGTTGGGTTTATTAAAATGTGTTAATGCTGCAAGTTTATTTGTGTAATATCTTGATGCATGCTCAGTCATCATTGATCAATGAGCTTTGATCAGTGGTAGCTGATCAATGGTCATGACAATTTGCAGGTTAATGATCATAAACTGACCTCACAGCTCATTGTTTATTCATGCGCCTGGTTTCAGTCATTGTGCAAATAAACTGTTTATAAAGTTGGGGAAACCTGCAGTCAGCTGAGACTGAAGAAGTCACCTGGATGAGTGACGAAACGTTTCTCCCACTAAAAACGTTACGCCCAGATGAACAGAATCAACTGTTTTTGGATTATTTGTGTAATCTATTTTATTTCTATAAAATCATCACCACACCTTTTCTCATTGCCGTAGGACTTCTGAGCGACCTTGGCGTGCAGGATGGTGACACTCTGGTCTGCGTGGGCTTCTCGTCCTAGTTCTGCTGATGTTCCCAGTAACTGACAGCCTTGAAACCCTGAGTTCAGTCTCCTGATTGGATGACAAGGATGTTTGTCACAAAGAAACGCAAAAAACAACACATAGTGTGTTTGTGAGGAAAAGCCAAGATTCTGATGGTGCTCAACAGAAAAACTATGCATAAAAGTGTTGATGGAGGTGCAAATGTTTGTGCAAATTTTATGACATAAAATAACTCAGCAGTTGTTAGTTTATCTACAAGTGTGAACATCACTGTAGCACTTCAGGAAAAATCAGGGGTCACAAATATTCATAATACAGGAATGACCAGTGCTCCAAAACATCCTCCATCACCATCATCGTCTGACTTTAAATCAGGCCCGTTTCTAAACTGTGTGATGTCTGCAGCATCTCAGCCCAGTTTGGTGTTTTTCACAGAAACTAAATGTGTGCAACGAGACTCCGTTTCAGGCAGACAGCTCACTGCCATCATAAACGAACACATGGACGTGGTTAAAGTGGTGAAAACCTGCTCGTTCCCTTAAAAAAACAAAGCTGAGTGACACATGAATGAAGCAGACTAGAGTTTTACCACCATGTTATCAAGAAACGAATCCCACTGTAGTTTGAATTACACTTTTTTTCATGTTCCCACAAAGTAGCTTAGACTAAGCACACAATTATCATCAGCAGACACTCCATCCATCTTTAGAAGAGACTCAACAGCAGCAGATATAAATACAGGCAAGCCAAAGATGGGATAACGGTGTTGTTAGAGACTCATTAAAACATGGAACAATTCTTTTTATAGCTGGAAAACATTCTCAGCACAGAAAGAAAAGACAGGAGACGCAGTAATGTCACATTTTCACATATTTAAGTTTCAGATACAGACTCTGGACCAAACGAAAGCAAAAAAATCCTGTCTGATCAGAACTAGTTAACTTACAGGTTACTCGTACAAAAATAGCATGTTAATACACATATGCTGATGCATATACATGCAGTTTATTATTCAATACATGCTACTTTATATGCAGTTTAGATTTACAGTTTAGATCTATGGTTGCTTTTCTTTGGAGTGGCTGTAGCTCAGGTGGCAGAGCAGGTCAGCCACTAATCAGAAGGTCGGTGGTTCGATCCCAGGCTGCATCCTGGCTGCATGCCAAATATCCTTGGGCAAGATACTAACCCCATGTTTGCCTACTGGTGGTGGTCAGAGGGCCCGGTGGCGCCTGGGTCCGGCAGCCTCGCCTCTGTCAGTGCGCCCCAGGGCAGCTGTGGCTACAATGTAGCTTGCTATCGCCAGTGTGTGAATGTGTGTGTGAATGACTGAATGTAGTGTGAAGCGCTTTGGGGTCCTATGGACTAGAAAAGCGCTATACAAATGCAGGCCATTTACCATTGTTGATCACTTGACTTCTGCATTCATGCTTATTTCATTTCTTCTTCTGGCCTCTGGTTTTTTCTTGTTTCATTTTGTTCCACAGAGCATCTTTGCTCATGTCTGGATCCATATTTTTCATTTTTTAGTAGATTTACATGTTCACAGTTCAAAACAGTCAAAAGGATAAAACTTTTAGAGCAGGGTGGACTCCTTGTACATACCATGACCTCACTATTCAAAACTTGGGCCATGTTTAATATGAACACACACCAACGGAGATATATGGATGTGTATGCATGTTTGTTTTTTCTTGCAAATAAAGAGAAACATTATTCAAATATAGGCAGAACTTAAAAGCTATTGTTTAATCACATTATTTGTTTCATGTATTGTTCATTTTCTCCTCTGATTGACATTTAATTTAAAGAAAAAACCCTCAAAGTCTTATTTCCAGTCATTAAATTTTAGATATTTCATGTTTTGACAGCAGGTAAGTGAACAGCAGGTGAGTGAACAGCAGGTGAGCCACTGCCAGAACAAAACTAGACTAAGTGGACAAAAGATTCCTGAAGCACAAATACAGACTTGGGTTTTCTGAATGGACATTTAGTATTTGATATTATGTTTCCACTTGCTGGGTCTTTTGTAATTACAAGACAACAAAGCAGTGCTTTAATCAAATAAAGGCTTTACACTTAGATTTTAATGCTTTTATTAGTCCCACAATTTCCCCTTGTGGGACTAATAAAAGGTATCTTATCTTATCTTTTTCTATTCATTTAATCCTGAGCAGGTTATTTACAACCTTTTTACTTTGTAAAGTGTTCATTACTTCTGTTAACGCGGCCTCCTTCTGTGTGATTAGATTTTAAATGCTGAGCTGAACAGCAGGCAAAAGGCTGAAAGAACAAGCTGACTGACCCCGTGTTGCTCTGCTAACAATAGCGCCTGTCACATTAGCTGTGTTTTCTCCCCGCTGTAGCGATGTAATGAGGAGCCAGACACAGAGTTACGACCCCGGGGCCTGGAGTCTGGAATGCTACTCCTAATGAAGACTATCGACACGAGAGGAGGAGAGGAGGAGAGGAGGAGAGGAGGAGAGGAGGAAGGCAAGGGAATAAGGAAGGACTCAAAAGACAGCTGAATTATGTAAGTGGTTAAAAATCAACCTGCTGCGGTTTCCTGTGGCAGCCACCAAGTTCTCACACAAATTTAAGGTAACAGCAAATACTTTCCATTCACAACTATTATCTGGATATTAAGATATTAACAAAGTGGAGAAACTGAGAGTGACTAAAGTCCCAAACAGAGATGGCACAGTGGATGTTTGAGCTTCACATGCAGACTTTGGACTCTTCAGTACAGAAACACGACTTCAAGCTTTAAGTAGAAAGAAATTCATGTTTGAACAACTCATAAGAAATATTTTCCAATCCTATTATGGCAAACAACAAACTTTAACTCAGTTCTATTACAATAACTCTAACATCACGAAAAATGAAAATAAAAATCATGTATCACTTCTCTTTCTTATGGTTTATATTATTTTTGAAGCCCTTAAACTGTTACTGAGCACAGAAAGCATTTAGCAAATATATTATTTGTGCCCTTAGAAAAGTCACCAAGGTTACAAGTCCGTCTATAATCTTGACCCTGATGATGACACATGTATTCAGACCAGCTGGTCTCCATAAGGGCGAGCGCCTGCTTGGCCAGCTGTACTGAACATCAGATCCTACTAACGCCTCTCTCCACGGGTCAGGGTTCAGACTTGAATGGCTGTGTGTGTCTTCACTAGCTTGTAGTTTAAATTAGACCTTCACATTTTCACAGGTCAAAGGGCAGGCGTCAGGAGCGCAGGGCTCCTGGTATTTCACACCAGGAACACAGAATGAACTGAAGAAGGACGGGGGGAGGGGTGGACAGAAATACACTTGCATCTACATCTTCTGGTCCAGATGTTGTTCTAGCACACAAGTATTTGAAAGTTTATAATCACTACAATTACTGGGTTTGTTAGTATGATGAACTCAACAGGTGTCTGGGCCCTAAAATCCACAAGTGGAAGAAAAGTTTTTTAAATTAGAAGTTTTACAACCTTCAGAGAATTTAGATCCAAGCTGGTGAGGAGCAGGAGGTTGATTAAGAATAAAGTGTATTTCTCGACTGGTTGTGAGTGGCTGCTGGAGTTTCGAGCTTGCAGCTATTGTTTGGTGAAACTGGTCACATAGAAAGGACTGCACCTAAACCCTCTATGTGTGGGTTCGAGCAGATTGCCCAGGTCAGTTGTAGTTTGCATGGAAGTGTCGACTTGTCTGCAAAAACTCAATATTTACACTGTGGGCTGCAGTAAAAAAAAAGGGTGGAAATACCCTATAAAGCAGCTTTCTTTCTGATGACCAGCAGGGGGCGACCATTCTGTTTGCAAAATAAAGTCCAGCTGTTTAGGGGTTTATGTAGAAATGCCCCCTGCAACTCCCAAATAAAAAATGAGAATGAAGCAGAATATGCTTCAGGAAAGACCTCAGCACATCTGGGTTCACAAAACCAAGACAGCAACAGCTTAAATGCACAGCTTTAAAACTGGACCTCAGTAACTAAGCTGCCATGCCAAGTTGGATACATCCATCTTTTATATACAGTCTATGCTCCAGTCTTAAGTTTTAAGTTTTCATAGCTAAAGGCCAGAAAGACAGTAACAACCAATCAGATTATATGTTCAGGTCACATGACTTATTCATAAAACAAATATCCTATCACGTGCAGGATTTTAACACAAATATCATAATTCAAACTGTTTTGGTTCGTCTGCCATGAACAGTTCCTGCCACATGGGACTCGTTTTCTTTGGCCTCAAAACTGTTAATGTAATCACATTACTTTAGTAAAGTGATTAGAGTGAGAAAGCTGAACATTAGAGAGTCACTGATCAGTCACAAATTATCTGTAAAACACTTGATGAACTTTATGAAGCAGAAACATTTGTGCGCTCGTGCGCCGTAGCAGGTCTCACCTCTCCAAAATTCTCCGCGCGCTCAACATTGTTCGGATTTCAAAAGCCGGGGGGCGGGGTCTCTACCTCCCCAAATACTTCTTGGCACTTTTATACCTCCTCACCATCACTGCACCACTTCATTCCAACAGTGAGTAAAACCGAGGGAAGGTCAGCGCGGCAGAAACACGAAGCTGACCTGAAACTTTTTCACGTCCACGCGCTCATTCCTCACCTCCTCTCCGAGACTTTGGGATAAACTCCAGCAAACCGTGACCTCACCTTTCCCGGCCCGGGACGCCCCGCGTGCGTGTGTGTCGGGACTTTTGTCGCAGAAGTCTGAGCACCCGGCTGGTTCTCCGTCTTACCTGTCCCATCCACCCGTCCGTGTTGCATCGTGTCCGGACGGCAGCGTCCCCAGGTGAGTCAGCGGGCTGATTGGGTCCGGGGACAGGGGAGGGGGGTATAACAGAGCGGTGTCTGCCTCGGGGAAGCCAGGTCGGTGCAGCAGTGTTTCTGAGAGGAAACGAAGTGTTAGATTGATTTCACAGTGAAACCGTTCAAAGCAGAGATTAACATGATGAGTCAGATCACAGTGTCGCATCATTTAAACTTCATTTAACCGAGTGAAATAGGAGATGTGTGCAGGACAACGCGGTGCTTTGCAGCCTGCTTCAGGAGCAAAGGTATCCCAAAGCAGAAATCATCGAGTTCATCGTGTAATATGGTCACATGTGATATGTGTGGATGAAAGTTTTAACTGAATTGTCTTAATTTAATATCTGATTAATAATTTCAACCAGTTTTCAAGTAAACCAGTCAAACAGACTGGACTGTAAAATGCAACAGTTCGCTGTTTTTCTTGATTAAAGTAAAAATCTTTAAATTTTAAACTAAAAAAATGGGCTCAGCTTCTGGGAGGAAACTCAAAACTGAGTTATTCTGTGGCATTCAGAGAAAACAGTTAAGTTATTATTCACTGAAATGATCTGTGGATAAATTGTTAATGAAAATAATTGTTAGTCAAATGCCAACACAAGCAGTTTGTGACTTCAAAAAGAGTTTCCAAGGAGGCTTTCAAAATTTAAGGAGCTTGGAAAAGCCTCTGAAAGTTGGATGTTGGATAAGGTCCAGTTTGGACATTATTATCAGTATTGATCATGATAATAATGCACTAATAAAGACAAGTTCTCACTGATGTTATTATGATTTTTGTACGGTTTTAGCTGCAGTAAGTGTTTACATTGAAGTGAAACAAATGATGAGTCAGTGAAATGAAGTGGAAAGATAATTAAAGGTCACTAAAAGCATCACATTTGAAAATAGATGTGAGTGTAAGACGGAGGGAAAGAGGCTTTGGGTTCACACTGGTTGCCTGGAGGTGATGCTTCAGGCAGTCAAAGCCACCATTCAGGGAGAGTCTGCTCGAGCACAGAGACGGGTCAGGGCTCACGTGGTTAAGTCAACACAGTCAGTCAGAGAGAAGCTTAATCATACAGCCATACAGGCAGGTGGACAGACTGGAGGTGACAGAGTCATGATACAGGCGCATGATCAGCGATGCCGTGTCTCTGGGAAACTTTAAACGGGTCAGCGGTGCAGGCGTGACTAAAGAGGGGCTCCTGGGCTATCAATGCAGCCATGGGTACAAATTACTGGGTACAAGGGGTCCACACCTCCTTCTTCTAGGGAAAAAAAAGTGTGTGTCATTATGAATAATAACGCAGTGCTCAGTCTGGAACTCATTCAGCCAATAATTACATGAATAGCTGCAGTTTTTCTTTATTTTTTCTTTTGCCTTTTGCATTTTTGAGAACTACTCAAGTGAATCAAAACAGAAATGCAATGAACTACAAATATATCCAGATATGTTTGTGAAAGAGTGGTAAAACGTTGTTAGTTGACTTTATTTGTTGTGTCAACGGTATTATTCCCTGCATGCGATGCATTTAGAGGACACATACCCTGACAGGCTCTGTACTCCTAATAATCCTGCTGATGATAATCTACCCACCTGAGCCGCAGTCAGGTCTTTATATAACCGGGCTCAGGTCTGTTTATGTTCGCAGGCAGATGATAATAAAAGGCGGTGGAGGAAGTCGGGGTGTAATTCAAAGACAGGCAGGTAGTGAAACTGCTCGCAGTAGCAGACTTAACATCTGGTTCTAATCTAAATCTAACAACAAGAAGTGCTGTGTTCATCTCAATATGGTCTCCAGCTGCCACTCAAACCCTAAACCGCCTACAGAACAACCGCAGCCTCTCCGCCCGTCTCCCTGTATACATCCAAACTGCTCTCTCTGATCTCCAGCTTTTCTACATCCTTTCTTTCCCCTCACGCTCACTCTGGCTCTCTTTATGTTACACAAACATATGACCTCCGTCTCTGTCCGGCTTTCTAATCTCTGAAGCTCAGAGCTGATGTGTTTTCCTCTCAGTGTGAGTCCAGCCTGTCAGTCAAACTTCTGTCCTTTCTGTTTTTCCACATCTTGCTCTTTCACCTGCTGTTTTAATCTCAGTGCTTCCTCTTAACATTGCATATGTTCAGTCATATTCACACTGACAGAACATAAAGTCAGTAGAAAACACTGCCATCCATTGATCTGTCTAAAAAGCAGACCTTTAATGAAAGTCTGTGTAGCAGGAATGGTTTTTACACCCTTTATTTGTTTACTGATTCGCCTCCTCAGATTTATCAAGTTTGTTTTTGTTCCTGTTCTATAAAATATTGCAGTTTTTTCCAAGTTGCTGGTGTGTGTTATATACCAGATGTCTTTGGCAGCTTTACACAACGCCGACAGAGAGACGAGGCTGTTTTTTGATGTGTAGCATTACTGCTGTGAAAGGAAGCAGTTTAGCCCACAGAACACTGATAACCACAGTTTATTAACACAACCGTGGACATTTAAGTTTTATCGTACTGAATGATGCATGCCTAATTCCATATCTGTGCACAGGCCACAGCCTTGAGGCTTCCTTTATTTCTTTATTTTTTGTTTCCAAAGGAGATTATCTTGTTTTTTTCAAGTTATCTGCAGCAAAACAATGTTTTTGTTTGTTAAGCCACTTATCTCTAAATGTTTTTATTTATTTTTTATTTATAAAAGAAAACATAAAAATGTGTTTTTGTATTAACAAGTTGATTACCAAAGAGATATTAGCCAGCAACTTGATATATCTCATCATGGTGTGCAGTGTATGCCTAAAACAAAAACCTGTCTGCTTCAGATGAACAGTGTCTGAAGTCATGTCCTTAAGAAACAGGAAGAGAATCCAGCAAAGACCCAACAGAGAACCTGAGAAAAGCATCTGGATCTTTATTTGATCCATCTGCTATTCAAGCTTCAGCAGAAATGTTATCAGTGGAAAGGCGGCTGAAGCCAATCTGAAGGAAGTGTGCCAGATTATATCAGAACATCTGTTCATAAATCGCTGCACCTACTTCCAATGTTAATGAAATCGAGGTGACTCGAGGTTGTTGCACAGTGCTTTATAATCTGAGGTGTGTATTTGTGACAAGTCGGGAAACAATCTTACAAGTGACCCAATCAGATGTGTAGCCAGTATTTCACCATCATGATGTTTGACCTCAAATCCAGCTGTTTAAATAAGAAATATTTGTGCCTCCAGAAGATTCATTGTTCTCAATTGACAGATAAGGTAAAAATGACATTTTAATAATGTCTGCTCATAAACTGAAAGTAAAATTCAAATCAGTGCAAATTATTCTTCAGAGGAATAACTATCAGATACAGGGATCTATCAGGGCAGCTCAATTTTCTTTCTTTGAAAGTGTTTTCTGGCAGTTGAGCTTGACGTGTCAGGTACTTGTGGCATTTTTCAACAAGCAGGGTTACTGTTGAACTGCTACTCGTTCATAGAGGTTTGACGGAGCTTGAATTTTAGAGTTAGTACAGTTTAGTAACAAACAAAAAGAAACAGAGAATGAAAGGAGACACACAGCGTCCCTTAATAGTCACATTAACAAGAACCGATTCACTTTCACTGTGAGCGCTAACGCTTCAAACCTGTAAATTTAGTCTTTCGTTAGACTTCTGATAAACTGAGACTCAGAAACTTTCTAAACGGATGTCTGAAAGGTAAGATTATCTGTCATCTGTCACCATTTTAATCTCAGGGTCATGACCCCAGGGGGGCGGTGTGGCATCATTATCAGAGGCTGACGTGGACGAGGGTAAATAAGATGTTTTCACATGTCAGGCATTCGTTTATAACAGCTCCACTCAGTTCATGTCACCATTGACTGGTCTTTCAAAACTTCACTTATCAAACTGAACCCTAGTTTCCAGATGTTAAGGTTAATTAAGAGCTGTTATTCTGATTGCTGTGCATTTTATTCATGCAGCTTGCTAACTAGCCTTGCTGGCTTTACCTAGTAGGTTAGTACTTGACCTTCTTGTTTAAATAACAGTGAGAATGTCGGGCTCCCAACATTAAACAGGACAACAACCAACATGCAAACATTAAGGCTTCAAAGTGGAACTCAAAAAACAATGGGTGAAGTGACGGTGGCTTCATCTTTCATATACAGTCTATGCTCGAGTCACACTCGGTGTGGAGGACATGTTCAGCTCAGGTCGAGGTACGTACCCTCTTTATTCTATCACTGTTCAGTTACAGTAGCCAATGTCATGATACGTAGAACACAACTGCATTTCGTTTGTTACATTTTCCTAATATTTCACACTCAACAGAACTACAGAAGTATTCACGCTGTATTCAGGTTTGGCCAGCAGAGGGAGCTGCAGCCACCATAGCACCACCACAAAAGTGCTTTCCAATAAGTTTGTTTTATTTATTTATAGGATTACAAAACAATACTACTAACCTTTCCTGCCATCTTCCCCGACATCCAGTTCATCCATGATGGGCGTGGCCTCTGCTGAATTTAGGATGGGGTGTTCCTCGGGTCCATGGTCACTCTGCTTTTTTAGAAAAAGTTCAGGTTTAACAGAGAAATGTAAGTGACGTAGACCAACAAATGCACACCTAGCAGATAGTCTTAAGGGGGAATAGAACAATGACTTCACTGTCCAGTACTGAGTCCAAGAGCTGTGTAATTCTTTTCAGGCAACTGTTGACTAAACATTAGGTTGGCTTTGTGTTGCAGTGTGATGGTCCACTGAAATCAGATGTTTTTCTGCTGCTGGGTTCACTATCTGTGTAAAAGCCTCAGAAATGCTGACGGGCGACAACATACGTGGCTTTGAAGAACTTACAGGGTCAAAAACAAACCATGAGAACTTCACATCGGCTAAAAAACAGCACGTAATAACATCACGTTATGGTCTTACTGTTAGCTGACCTGAAGTCAGACTGTTGTCCTGCAGCTTTCTGGTTTAGATGCTCCTGTTGTTGTTTGTGTTCTGGCCTAAAGTCAGAAAAAAATCTGTTCTATACATTCAGTTTCTGCCCATCATGACTGCAGCGTAGTTCAAATGTCCACAATCAGTCCAATGATCAGTCAGCACAGAGCAGAGCTTCCACTACACCTTACAGTCACGCTACAGTAAGAGGGGCTCTGGTGTATCTGCGCGTGTTCATGTTTGCACTTCATCCCGGACCTGTTATCAGGCCATGCTGTGTGTGTGTGTGTGTGTGTGTGTGTGTGTGTGTGTGTGTGTGTGTGTGTGGTGTGTGTGTGTGTGTGTGTGTGTGTGTGTGTGTGTGTGTGTGTGGGTGTGTGTGTGTGTGTGTGTGTGGATAAGGAGATAATCACCTGTTACCAAACTGCAGATTTCTCATACACACCTTCCTCTTCAGCAAACACTGCAGGTACTTGCAGGCTGATTTTTTTTCTACATTTATCTAACATCAGGTTTTCATTAATTCATTCAGTTAGCCAAAAATGCAAATAGCTTCATTCTTCGCTCTTTTTTTATGCTTTAACATGTGGGGAAGAAGGTTTTTAGTCAGAAAAAAAACACCAAACATTAAAAACAGTCCTATAAAAACAGTAAACCCCCTCAGGAAGCTCTTTTTAGAAACAAAGGCACAATAATGAGCAATTTTCAAGGTAACATTGCTTCAGTTTATTTGAGGAACATGCAAGTTAGTCATTGAGAAGGGCTGTTATTTACAATCTGTAAATCAGTCCTGCTGGCAGTACAAGATACTGTGTTACCTTCATAACACGAAAACACCCTCTGCTAATGAGTGAGCATTTAGCAGCAGATTTCTAAGGAAACTGAGAACAGAAGAAATCCACAAAACTTTTCATTTTTCAAGCCTTTAGCTTTATGATTCTCCTCTCTCCAGCACATACCTCCACCTCTCCAGGCTCTCCTCCACCTGCTCCCTACTCTCACTACAAATCACAGTGTCATCTGCAAACATCATCATCCACAGAGGGTCCTGCCTGACCTCATCTGTCAGGCCGTCCATCACCACTGCAAATAAAAAGGAGCTCAGAGCAGCTCCCTGACATAATCCTACCCCCACCTTGAAACGTCAACCTTTAGAGAGCGAGTCTTTCATGCAAAGCTTACCATGTACTGACTTCATATTCTCACACAGATTTTAGTGCTATTGATCTTTTAATAAAAATCCCAACTCATTTCCAATTTGTTGACCTACCTTGATTTTAACAGGATGAACAAGCAAATCTGTGTTTTGGGTTTGTAGAAATTCATGTTTACGTGTAAATACCTTCATGTGTGAGCCTGACGTTTCGTGCAGTGTCTCTGTGTTTCACAATCAGCGATAACATCTGCAAAGAACATTAAAGCCTGACAAAAACAAACAACAGGAGTCAACAAGATGCCTGTGCTTTCCATCTGTCAGCAGTCACCGGACCAAAAACACATGCTACAGCTCCTGTGATTTACTGCCAGCTCTGACCAATGCTGAAACTGCCAGCTTTGTAAAACTCCTGTGAAAGGGCTTTGTGTTGGTTGGTGATGTGAGATGCCAGATGAACAGTTTGGAGTCACATTTGTCAGCCTCTGTTGAGCAGCGAGGGACAGATGGAGAAGAATGGATCCAAAACAAGCTGAAACATATTCAGTGTTTTGACTGAAATGTGCTGGGATCCTGCTCATTCTGCCAGCCTAGGTCCACTGTCCAAATCTATTATTCTTATGTTTCATAAAACTTGTTTTGCCACATATTAAATTCTTCAAAAATGATGCAAAAATATTCTGAGAGGCAGAGAAAAGGAACCGTTTCCCACAAGTCTGAAAATCTGAGCTCATGGATGAGGTTTTTATTTCAGTTTACTCTTATTTAAAGTTAAAGTCACTTTATTTGGGTTAAAAAAAAACTGGAGATGAGTTTTAATTAAGGCAGATAAACAACAGCCAAAAAGAAACTGCTTCTCAGTTAAAAGATTAGTCATATAATCAAAAAATGCATTAATTCAGAAAATAATCAGTTTAGCCAATAATCAATTTGTTACAATCCTTTCCTTCAGTAACGTGATAATTCTGATCACCATCAGGCCTAATGCAGCTTAAACGTCCTGTAAATGTGTTCTGCAGGTGCTGAAGCAATGCCCATGCCAGGTGAGAGTTCCTTCTGTCCACTGCCTTCAGTGTGAGTTGACATCAGGGAAGAGTCCAGGGAAAGCAGGAAAATGCATCAACATGTTCTTCTCCCAGAGGGAGCAGCACTAACAGGAAACCCAGGCCTGATAATGTGCTGTTGTCTAAGTGTGTCTGTGATCGTCTGTGCTTTGACTTTGTTCGGTAACAGCACAAACGTGTCCGTTCAGACGAGCTGATGGGAAGCTAAGAAATCTGCAAAAATGTGGAAATGGAGCCTCTGACATAAAACTGATTCATTAGGCAGTAATAGTAAAAATTATGTAAGTACTTTTACTTTAGTGTTTACTGGTGTAGTGGAGGTTACATCACTACAATCACAGACAATTAGAAATTATATTCCACAGCCTTCATCTGATGATGATATGACTCATTATGGATTTACTGATCAATTTACAAAACTCACTGAAAGCAACAATAATGTTACTTTTTCATAAACTAAACAGGAAGTATGAAATTGAATGTGTTTGTATGTAACAGGATCGATGCAGCTGAGCTTTAGTTTTAGCTGTTTGAGTCTTTTCACTGATGGATGTAGACCGCAGAAAGAAAATAGTTACATGAAAAATATGTAACAAGGGTTGTAATGGGATCATGCTTTTTTGAAAGTGTTTTTTAAATGTGTTGATGGAGTCTTAACCATGAATGCCATTTGGTTCCATCAGATTCAAGACAACGCAAACATCCTCTCCGCTGAAATCTCCAAACCAGAGAAACCCAAACTTAAATAGTGCAGATGATTTGGAGATGGACTGTCCTTAAACACAGCTGACGGTCGTATTATGACATTTATGAGTTTGACCTTTTACCCTCTTAAATATCAGCTTTAAAAATGACACGTGGATAAATCCAGAGGTTCATTTTTGCTGCCTGAGCTCGAAAAGAACTTTAAAGAAACAGTTTGTGTTTCATCTCTCGTGGTAAAGTCACCTTCACGCCAACATCAACAATATCTCTGCTCTCTGACTGCCGTGTTACAAGTAGCTGAGTAAACTGCACGGTTGATTTACTCTCCAGTATGTGGCATCAAACTGCTCCTCACAAGCATCTAGCTGCCTTTCTAAATGTGATTTTGTATTTAAAGCACATTTTCTTTAAAATTAGGAAGCCCATTCAAATACATTATACTGCCATGCTGCAGTTGCACAATATAATGTGCTGTTCATAAAACTGATATCACAGTGGACAGTTAAGATACTGTAGTGAATACATTTCCAAGAGTGGTTGGCGAGCAGACCATCTAAGTTTGTTTACTGTGCTAATGGAAGGAAACAGGAGCTCGAAGTAAGACTCACACTGTTAGCAGCCTCGCAGCCACAGCGAGCGGCAGCCGTCACCACCAACCCGTCAATGAAATGTTTAACGAGAAAATATTGGCTCTGAGCTGAAAGATTCTCTTTGTGGATAATTATAGAACATATGCTGCTCTGTGACCCGGGCTGAGGCAGAGCTGTGATACGTGTGTGTGTCTGCAGCGCACACGCTGAGCGGCGGCAGGATCCAGTGGATTGTTGTTTAGTGGGGGAGACAGGAAAAGGGGAGGTGGGGGGCTGGTTGCTGCCCTGTGGGTACAGAAAGCTGTACCACACACACACACACACACACACACACACACACACACACACACACACACGCTTTCCCTAGCAAGGTTATTATTGGTAACGAAAACTAACGAAATAATGAAAAAACATTTTCGTTAACGGAAATAAAAATAAAAACGAGACTTTGCGAAAAAAGGAAAACTAACTAAAACTGTAATGAGTGTTCACAAAACTAAAATTAACTGAATTTATAGCAAAAATGTGTTTAGTTTTCACTGATGTGTGTGTGTCATACAATAGTCTAGCGTGAAAATGAGGTGTAGTTTCCAGGTTTTTTTCTTGCTGTGTCTCATTATGCCAGCAGGTGGCAGTATGTTAGTCGAGTCGTCTGTGTTGCTGCTTCGTCCACGCGCAAAATCGTGTCAGCAAAAGGCGGGAGAAAGCGCCAGAGTCTAATTTGGGATTGCTTTGATTGGTAATCTAGTTTACCTTGAAGGTAAGGGAGCACGCCCAACCCTCATCCCCAGAAACAGAAGCTAACTCCAGGCAAGGCAGCGTGATGCATCCCGAGACAACTCCACAAAAACCATTAATGCAGTGCTTCAATCGGCGACCTGATGGCTACTGGTTGGTCAGTTCGCAGGAACATCACAAGCGAGACGAAGCGTTGGCGAATATGTTTATTGAGACTGGGATATACATGCAGCGTGTGGGGATAGGTGAATTGGATAATCCAAATTGCCACTAGGTGTGAATGTGCGAGTGAATGTGAGTGCGAATGGTTGTCTGTCCCTGTGTGTTGGCCCTGCGACAGACTGGCGACCTGTCCAGGGTGTACCCCGCCTTTCGCCCTATGACAGCTGGGATAGGCTCCAGCGCCCCCCGCGACCCTGAAAATATACTATATATATATATATATATATATATATATAATGTTCTTCCTCTACCCCCCCAATTTTTTTGCACATGTCGAGCGTGTCAGGCTACATTTCACTGTGTGTTATACTTGTATAACTATGCATGTGACAAATAAAGAACCTTGAACCTTGAAAAGGATAAGCGGAAGCGAATGGATGGATGGAGACCGGGATATCTACACAACTGTGTGAGTCAATTGCCTTCAAAAAGTTTAGTAATTCACTTGAACCAAAATTAGGAATACCTGGTTCTGCAAGAGTTCATAGCCTCATTGGGGCCAAGATATATCTTTTTATAGGTACCTGGTACCAAAGGTTGTTCATCTGCCCTCATTTCTTTTTTCTTTTTAAAGAACCCATTGGTTCCCCATAGGTGGGAATGTGAGTTGTCTGTCTTTGCGTGTTAGCCCTGCGACAGACTGGCAACGTGTCCAGGCTGCAGGGTATGGTCGCTGGAATAGCAACATACCCAAGGATAAGCAGAAGAGCATGACTGATATGATGAAACTGGGATTTTGTTACACTTAATTATTGCAAATATG